CCAGTGCTAATGGGCCAAGATGTGTAAATATTTTATTTTTGTATGAAGCATAAAAACTCTTACTATCTTTGACAATTTAAATATCCTTGACAATTAATTTTGCCCTCAGGAGAGTAAAAATTATAATGAGAATAATGATTTTTTAAGGATGCTAAATAAAATAGTCTTCTTTTATCAAATTATAATATATTTTTCAACTCAATTGCTTTTGGATCTTAAGTAAAATATAAAGACTAGCAGACCTCTGAGGCAGGAACATCCACTTTTGCAATTTTAATATTGCAATCATTCAGGAAATGTAAGTAATTCTCTATCTACTAATGTAGTAACTGCATTTTTAGACCATTTTAATGATCAAAATGGATATAAAAATGTTTAACATTTAAAATTTTAAGAATCCATTAGAAAGTTTGGCCAGATAGCTATGTATTCATTATCGATATGTGAATAGACATAATAAAACTCACAAGTCTAATTCTTACTAATAGAAGAAGAAGAAATCTTAAAGAAATACTAAATTTTCATATAATATCAAGCAGATACATCTTCAAATGCTATAGAACAAATTTTTCATTTTTCCTTGTTTATGTATTTTTATGATATCTTTTAATCAATTTGTTAAAGTCTGATTTATTGGAAACACTAATTCTGGAGCATTGTGGTATTATGTTAGTGCTTTAATATTATAGAAGCTTTCACTCATTGTCTGAGACATACTGAAAGTATGTGTTTGAAACTTAAGAACTTGAGACCATATTTCTACAACAGAAAAATTAATTTGACTGTACCAATTAAACTCTCAGGCTCAAGAGCAATTGGGATAAATAGAAACCACACATAGACTAAGCTTGGAGTATAAGACTACCATGCTTCGGGCTAAGCAACTTGTTGAAAGCTACTATTTTTGAATTGGGAAGAAAAGTTTGTGTGTTTTTGTTTATTTTCTCATCATAGGCAAATACAGAGAGGAAAATTAGCAATTCATTTATTACAGCTCAATCACAGCAATTATAACTCGATTGTGAAAATACTGCTTTTAGTAAATTAAGAAGACAGAAGACATATAGTAATTATCACATTCCTTGATTTAACTTTGAACAACTAAGCATTCAAGTCTATCAATTGATTACATACCTCCATAATGCTGCATAGACAACTGCTAAGGTGATCAAGGCCAAGCAAGAAAGTCCACTGCCTACTATTAGGGTAACTGAAGGTGTACCAGAGGATTCCATGATCTGCAAATTAAACGAAACAAATGAAAAAAGAAAGAGAAATTTTTAAGAGAATAAATTAAAAGAACTTCTAAACTCAGCACAACTAACCTATCACTCAAAAATAGCCCATATATACAGTTGTTATAGTTACCAGATAATTACCCATGAATCCACTCTTTTCGCATATTCTCAACCTCCAAAATTACTAAATCTAGCTTCCCTATTTCTCCTACTGTGGAGTAATAAAGTCCTTAGAGACTTAAATGCTTTGATTACCCACTTACAGATTTCTAAAATAAAGACCTAAAGGTACAACTTGGTCAAAATTCACATGCTAATTTTTTTCTAGCTAAAATTTGAAACAGCATTCATTTTTCTTCAACTAACTACAGTTCAGTCATTTCACAATACGATTTTTAGTAAAATTTATCTTGATCCTCCCATTTGCAACTCATTATGTTACCCAAATCTGGTACATAACATTGAAAATATTTCAAACTTTTTGACTTTTGACAACTTTGTTCTAAGTCAAGTATTCACACATTTAATTTCACTTGCTTGACCTCTGAGAATATAGAAGAAAATCAAAAGTCAAATTTAAGATCTTCAAACACATTTTGTGATTTTTTTTCTATGAACAAAGTATGTGGAGATAGTTTTCACATTGCCACTATCAGTCCCTAAACACATGACCTTGAAAAATCAGCCTTATATCTTTTAAAACACATAGGAAGATTACAGGCATTCACTGATCTGAGAGGTTTCTTTCCTTGGACACTAAGGTGACATTAACTAATGAAATCTGTTGGTTTTCATACTGTCAGTATAGAAGTTTGAAGTAATACACTTTAAGATTAAGTGTGTTCTAAACCCTTAGATATGCACATTAAATTACATTAAGTATTTTTTGTCATCAAAATAAGTAAGAAGAGTGATGCTGATTCAGGCCAAATTTAGGCAGAAAGTCACATTTACCTGAATAATTACTTTTCAGTATTTCAAATTTTTTTCTATTTTCTCAAGATACATTTGATAAGAATATTATTTTTCTTTTAAGCAGTTCTATTCAGTTGTCTCTTTCAGAAACTACTTTTGAAAAACCTATATACTTTTAAGATATGATTTCACAGTTGCTGACAGCCATGCTTTCATGAAAACTTCATTTGATTATATACATATACATATATATGTGTGTGTATATATATATGTGTGTATATATATATATATGTATATATATATATACATATTTTCCAAGGACATCCTCAGAAAACCTGTACAGAAAATATTCAATGCAGATAAGCAATGTGTTTGGCTATAGTGTCTAGGGTCTTCATTCTACTGCTAACAGTATTCTCACAGATTCCCCAGAACAGCTTTCCAGCTTTAAAATAAAGGTTGAGTCGGCAATTATTTTTATTTGAAAGTTTGCAACATATTGGTAATATGATTGAAGTACATCTTCAAAACTATACTGCAGAAATTTCAAGTTAGAAGACATAAAATTGAGTAGAATTTAGTTACAGCATACCAACTAGAATTCATTCCACCAAGCTACTGTAGCTAAGGAGGAGACGAACCCGTTTTTGCCACCCTGCAACATTTTGCATTTCCCCATTTAAAATGCAGTTCCCTGGAGAAACACTCGCCACAATGTCCCTGCCTTTGCATTAAAGCCGTGTTTTCCCTTTGTTACTTACTATTTCTCTAGGTTGCTGAGCCAAAATGGCGAAGGTAGAGAGACGATCACATAAGCATTTCGTATGGGATGCATCGGTAAGCACAGTTTTACATCCCTGGGTGGACCACGTTCCCAAAGATTCGTTCCTGCAAAGGGGGGTTGGGGGGAGATCGGGATAAATACGCCTGACAGCCAAATCCGTAAAGAAGAAAATGCAGTTTAATTGAGAGAATCGTCTACTGTAATTCCCGTACAGGAAAAAAAAAAAATCTACTTGTTGTTGAACAGGACGTAATTTAGATGCATCTCCAGTAAGGCAAAGCAAGAGTGGGAAAAAGCAAGCAGGCGGCGGTGCGGCGTGCAGAGAGCTGTCCAGCGCCGGAGGTGCTGAAACCAGGACTAGCTCTGTCCAGCCCTCTGCGAGGAACAGCAGCGGCAGCGGCGGCGGCGGCAGCAGGAGCAGCCGCCAGAGCGTTGGCAGCCACTTCCTATGCTCATCGGATCGTTTCAAACACTCAGGGTGTAAAGAAGCTTTTCATATTTTCATACCAGCTCTGATTCCAGGTCCATATTTTGGGCCGTAAATGCTGGCTTTTAAAATGCGGATTTCTCTGAAAAGCCTGCCTAAAAGGTTACATAGCTTGGGTTGGGTGATAGGATCTTCTCCGCTGCTGGTTAGGGATTTTTCCTCCCTTTAGAATAGCTGCTGTGAAAATTTCACCCTGGAAACGGGAAGCAGCAGCAGCGGCATCAGCTGGTTCCGACTCTCATTGCCTTTGCCTGGTATCCAGGGGAGGGGTGGGTTTCAGATATAAGCTTCCTACTCCACACTTCTCTCGGCCCAACTCGACTCTGAAGCCCTTGATATTTCTTCTCCCCACACGCCTCTTTGCCCTGGGGCAGAAACATTAAGCTAACCCAAAGTCCAACAGAACATTTAGAGGAATAACCCCACCCCAAAGTCCACTAGGAGGGGGGAAGAGAGCCTGGTTCAATTTTCTCTTTGGTGTAGCCATTTAAAATGCTAAAGCATATGGTTTATTTCCCACCCCAGCAGAACAATAAAAATGGTATCAACCTACATCTTCTTAGTGGGGGGGGGAAAGATGGGGGAGAACCTTACACCCCCAGCTGAACTACTCTACAGGAGGAGAGAGGAAGGAAAAAGAAAAAAAGCTATAGAGCTCAACCAATCAACTTTATTATCATTACACGTGTTCAGTACTGAATGCACCAATTGTCACCTCCCCTCCCCCAGGCATGGAATCTCTCCATCTAGCAAACCTCTGTGTGTGTGTGTGTGTGTGCGTGTGTGTAAATTTCAAACGAAGTTACTATCTGTGTTAAAAAATGACTCCAAAACTCAAAGAGAAAAATATAAGGTTTGATGTTAATTTTGATATGGTACTTTTGATTTTTGCCTCCTCCATCTCTAAATGCCTGAAGCTATTGGATTAAATATGCATGCAGTGTATTTCAGAGAGATTCAATGAGAGAGGCTTCTCTGTGACAGTTGGACTTCCAAGTTGAGCTACAGAATATAATTTACACTATCTCTTTTTGGTATCTACCAGCAATATTTTTTATTATTTATGATTTGATGTCATTAATATTCATGACTCAATATACTCTTAATTACAACTTCTTTTAAGAAGGAATACATGTATTTGGGGAGAGTTAGATAAAAATTATACTCAACTTTACCCAAGTACTTATAAGTATTAGCCATTTCAAAATTGGTTAGTGCTCTTTTCTTTCTCATGATGTCATGCAACCATGTCATTAAAAAAAAAGTTGGTTATACTTTCAACTGCAATAGTATTAAATTCCAATTCTACCTAATCATAGCAGCACATCAATTTATTTCATTAGCTGTCTGCCTCTTATCTTCTTGTGACAAACAGTTAAGGCCAAATGGAAAGCATTTATCTCACCTGATCAAAGTTTAAAGAAGAAAGATACACTTAAAAGAATCTGACATGTTTTAAAACATAACATCTGCATTATTCATCCTGGACAGCAGCTTTCCTTTAATGTAGTGTCAATGCTTTCAAAATGGAGTCCAGTACTTACACTTTCCACATTATGTAGATATGCCCAATAAACCAATTTGGTATTTTAACAGGAAAAAAACTTCATTGTAAGACCTCATATAAGACAAAGTTATATATTTATATCCATGTAATGAGCATTTATTTGATCTTAGCATCACTGAATTTTGGATGTCAGTTATAAAGTTTATATTCAATATAATGTTGCTAGACTCTGAAGACCATATAAATCTATATGATATATTTAGAAAAGTGGGTCAGTTTATTTTATTTTGCACAATGATTTCGTTGTTGACCTGGACCAGCCTCAGGCAAAATTGGGAAGTAAGTAACACTGGTCTCCACATTTTAGTCCTTCACTCTTTTCAAGCATGAAATGCTTCTAATCTCACTGGGTCCCTTTTCATGCATACCTTCCTGAGGTTATACCACCTCTGTCCTTACCTTTCTTCACAACTATTATCCCTTTGTTGACTTTATCTGATTAAACTAATATATAATAATATGTGAATGGCTGGGTGCAGCTTAATGTACTCTTTTCAATTTAAAAGGTTTATAATAGAAAGTAATGCGTCTGATAGAACACCAGAATCTGGAGCAGGTGAGTAGGAGAGGAAATCTTGAAAGGTGAGTGGATAACTACCAAATTCTGCATTTGGTCACTCCCAAGAGATGAGTAAGAAATGTGATGCCATTCTGAGGCCAAAATTTATATTGTTTCATAAAACTCTTGATATTTAAAAATAAGTTAATCTCATAAATTAGTTTTTTCCATCAGTAGCATACACATAACTATTATTACAAGCCCTATAATATGAGTTGTCTGTATTTTCACACTTTTCATAGCTTATTCCTACTGCACAGAATTCTTTGAAAGCATGGTACATGTGTGTCATTGATTTCAGGGAGATCTTGTAAAGTAAACTGGTATGTGTTAGAGCAAAGGTGAAGCAAGACAGCTTCCCCATTCTGCACAGAGCAAGGTTTTTAAACATGTGGACTATTCCAGCAGTCACATTATTCTTCCAATGTCATAGTTTTGCATGTTATAATAAATGGTATATCTGTGAATTACTCTTAGTTATTAAGTCTGGATTGTCATCAATAGGGCAAACAAATACAGTGAATATAAGTATGCAAATTAAAGATATAAGAATAACAGACTGATGGTGTCAAAAGCAAACACAGAATGATGATACAGGCATTACATTATACTGAAAATCATATATTTCCTTTTTATGGTGTCTTTTCTGGGCCTTAAGTCATTTTTTTTTCAAATAGATTTCAAGCATAACTATGCCTGAATACTCTACGTTGGCTACACCTACATTCACCCATGTTACTTGTCATCTGTATCTCTTCTCCTTCTTCCTATTACTGTATTAGGGCTAAAGAGTCTGCCTGTCCCAAGTATGCAAAAGTATGTATCCAGAAACACAGAATTCTGTGAAAATATGATGCAAAATTTATTAATGTCTAGCTTAATATTTATTTGAGGCATTTCCCCAGTTTCCTAGGAGTCAACATGGTTTCTTTTGGGATCTGAATATTTAGTTGAGATTTTGGTTTCACACAGTTTTAAATAATAAAGCATGTGCACACATTCTCTGGATTTAAAATTAAATGGAAAATTATCTGCTTCTATGAAAAGCTGCTTAGTAAAAAAAACTGATAGCAAAAATTTATAGTGACACATATCAAAATTATATCAAGAAATCATACTTTTTTAAATTTCAGAATATTACAACGGTACAAATGTTTTGGCTACATGAATTCCTTTTTATAGTTTGAGTCAAAGGTATAAGTGTGCCCATCACTAGATAGTGTGCATCGTACTTAATGTTTCAAAATACCAATACCACTAGATATTCCACTTCAATCAGTCTTCTACAAGACTGTCTACTCTGCTTCATAATAAATCAGTATGTGAGTTATTTATTATGAATAAGTAATGCACTTTAGGAAGTTTATTAACTCTTATGATATTGAGCCCATTTTTTCAAAATCAAAATTGCTACAGCACAACTTTTTAAAAAATTTTATGCACAATTTCTGGCTACCCTGTCCTCATGTCGTAAGCTAACTAAAAGGAAGTAATTGCTTTCCAATCTCAACAGTAGTTAATTTCTAAGAACTGGGTGAAACTATATTATTTTAATGCATATGTTATACTCAAATGACGATGTATATATGGCTCTTGGTGTAAATTATTCTCATATTACAGAGAGTTTTGGAGTACAGATGAGAAAATATTCTCAATTTTGAATAGAAACAGTCTTCGAGGGTAATCTCTACTTTTCAGGGTATTGCAAATATTGAGAACACTGTTATCTCCAGCAACTGTTACTATGTCAAAATATGGTGAATCATAAAATTAGAAAGTTTTGCTAGAAGCAACCTTAGTGATCATCTAGCCCATTGGTTTTCAACACTTGTGGTACATTAGAATTACCTGAAGAGCTTTAAAAATTAAACCCTGGGGTAGTGCTTCATCATTATTACTTTTTTAAATGCCCCCCAGATGATTCTAGTGTGCAGTCAGGGTTGAGAACCACTGATCTATTCCAACCACTTAGTTTTATAGATAAGGAAAGAAAAAGTGCAGTGAATTTATGAAACTTGTTTTAGGTCTCAGAGTGAGAAGCAAAGCTGGTCTTTTCATGTAGATCGAGACTAGGGATTTTATTAAATGCTAAGTTCTTATTGTAATCTGTTTTAAGACAATGTACTGAACATGTCCTATGAAGTTATAAGATCAGATCTTTATATAGTAAATATGTATATTTTACTGTGAAAGAGTAATACCACCAAAAGACATATATACATACTTTATTCATTGGGATAAGATTGAGAAGCAGGTACTTTCTCACCACCAGGAAGAACGCCTGTCACCCATCATGCTAGGCATGGAATTAATAGTGGCCCCTGCATCCCATAATACCAGATTCTAATTTGGATCTAAAAATAAACTAGTTCCAGGAATACTCTACATTTATATCTTCCCACACTCCTTTGTGCCTGTTAATGCTTTCCATTCAACATTATTATTAATATTATCAATATTAATTGCTAAATTCACCTTACCTTCTTTATTT